GATAAACCTTCGAGTAGCCAAAAAAGACTCAAAAAACAAATTCGAGGGTTACTGGAAATTCAACTCTAGTTTACTTAAAAAGGATCAATGTTGTAAAAACATTAAGGAAATAATTGAAGATATAAAAAATAACACAAATTCAGTAACAGCAATACAAAAATGGGAATTTTTAAAATTTTCCATTAGAAAATTCTCTATTTCATACAGTAAAAAACTACAAAAAGGGCTACAAATGGAAGAAACCAAATTAATCAAAGAATTAATTTCATATTATTATAAATCTGATTGGAGTGAGGAAGATAGAACCAACATCAACACATTACAGTCTGAACTAGATCAATACTATCAAAACAAAGCAAGAGGAGCATTTATACGATTCCAGATGGATGTAAGAAGGAGAGAAAAATACATCATATTTTTTCAGCTTAGAAAAACAGGCAGGAAAAAAATTCAGTTAACAGTCTCATAATTAACGGTGAAGAATGCAAAGACAAAAAACTTATATCGGAAGAAATTAGGGAATTTTACAGCACTCTTTTTACGTCCTCATACTCCAAACAAGACTCAGAATTATTTTTTAGAGAAATCAGAAATGTTATTCATACCATAGACTCTACTTTTAAAAATATACGTGAGGAAGATTTCTGTATAGAAGAATTTGACTGTGCTTTAAAAAATGTAGCATCAGATAAAGCTGCTGAATCTGATGGCATCACTGCAATTTTTTATCAATTCTTTTGGACAGAGATAAAAATTTTGTTTTTTGATGCAGTTATTGAAAGCATTCAGAATAAAGAACCCATGACAACAACGAAGCAGGGTGTCATCACATTAATACCTAAACCAGGAAAAGATAAAAGGAACCTGAATAATCTAAGACCAATCACTCTTCTCAATTCAGATTATAAAATATTTACTTAAGTTCTTGCAGCTAGATTAAGAGTGGGCAATCTGGTTTTTTTTAAAAGGTAGAACAATCCATGATAATATTCGTCTAGCTCTGGATCTAATTCAATATACCCATTTGATTGATGATGATGGTTTTATTCTCTTTTTGGATTTCCAGAAAGATTTTGATACGGTGGAACACGCTTTTATTCTTGAAACATTTAAACACTTTGGCGAAATGTTTTTGGATATTATCAAAATGTTGTACACAGACATAATTAGCTGTGTTTCCTTAAGTGAAGGGACATGTCCAAGAATGAGCATAAAGAGAGGGATTAGGCCAGGATGTAGTGTGTCACCTCTCCTGTTCACCACAGTTACAGAACTATCATTCTCTCTCTGTTCTCCTATTCTGCAGAATCTGTTAGTTCAATCTCTAACCTTCTGCTCTCTCTGCTTTTCCTCAGAGTAGCTTTGCCTCGTCTGTTCCTGTTTGGCTGTGACGTCATCCTGGAAAGAAACATCAGCTGTGCTTTTTCCATCAACACCCTTGTTTATAGATGTTGGAGATCTGCCTGTTTTCCAGTGTGGTCCTGTTTCTCTGACCGTGACTGGCTGGATGTGCTCTCTTCATCCTCTGACATGGGAGCTGGCTCGGAGCTCGTCTGCCTGGCTGTGTGTTTCCTGGACGGGGCCGCCTTTTACAGCTGCTTTTTGTGTCTCTGCTTCTGTCTCCTTGAACCCCAGTGGGCCTCAGCAGATGGCCGCTCACACTGAGCCTGGTTCTGCTGGAGGTTTCTTCCTGTTAAAAGGGAGTTTTTCCTCTCCACTGTCGCTACAAGCATGCTTAGTGTGAGGGATTGTATTTGAGTCAATGCAATCAACTGGTTTTCCTTAGACAGAAAACTTTGTATCAATCTGACTGTATGATCTGGTTGAACTGTAAAGTGCCTTGAGATGACATGTGTTGTGAATTTGGCGCTATATAAATAAACTGAATTGAATTGAATTAAATTGAACTATCTTCATAAGAAGCTCCAATCTCCAAGGCTTGCAAATTACAGATCAGACAATTATCATAAGTCAACTAGCAGATGACACCACTCTGTTTTTAAAAAATGAAAATCAGATCCCTCTGGTCATCCAAACAGTAAATGTATTTTCCAAAGCCTCAGGATGGAATTTAAATTTTGAAAAATGTGAATTATTGAGCATCCATGAATGTTCTCATTCATTGTTGTACAACATAAAGGTCAAACTGGAGGTCAAATACCTGGGAATTTGGGTAACAAAAACTGAAAGTTGTAAAGTCAAACTAAACATTGAACATAATTCATACAAATGTAAACAGATACTTAACAACTGGTTGCAGAGAGACCTAACTCTTTATCAAAATGTATTCACCCCGCATACTCATTATCTATACCACAAAAAATTATCAAGGAAATTAATAAATTTAACTTCATCTGGAGAAACAAGCATCACTATATCAAGAAATGACATGTAGTTAAAGATTACGAAGATGGACGAATTAAAGCAATAGATTTTGAAATAATGAATGGTGTTTTAAAGCTAAAGTGGTTACAATCTTTTCTTAGAAGTAGTCATGAGATCTGGTTTGCTGTCCCCTCTCTGGTGTTTAGTAAAATCGCTGGTATTGAGTTCCTGTTGAGATGTGATTTTGAGATTCATAAATTACCCATACAACTGTCTGCGTTTCACCAGCAAGTGCTGTTAAATTGGAAATTGGCATTCAAACATAACTTTAGTCGCCATAATGTTCTTTTGTGAAATATCAGAGTTATTTTGTACCGGAAAAAGTCTGTGTTTATGGAAAACTGGATGGAGAAGGGAATCTGGTCAGTTAGTCATTTATTGGATCATAATGGCAATACATACATGTCTTATATGGCTTTTTATCTGAAAATAAATTGAATATCTTATTAAAAGAATTATCATCAGAGGAGGAGATCCACCTTCTTAATCTTTCCTTGGACAAAATTCAAAAACCAACAGCAAAAAAATTGTCATATCACCTAATTTATTTCAGCCCTCCCTTGATACAAATTAAAGAATAATGCTTACTTGGCTTTTTATTTATTTATTTATTTTTTTTATTTATTTATTGTTTTATTCATTTATCTTTCATTATAATTCTGTTATATTCGACATATGTAATTATAGATATCTTTGGATTTGGATTTTTTTTCTCTCTTTCTGAGTATATGTGTATTGTATAAACACATTGTGTAAACATCTATTTACATTGCAACTGAAAGAAAACAAATACGGTATTAAGAAAAGTGTTAGGAGGTATGATTGACTATATGATATTTTTTTATACTGTATTGGTTGATTTTGTCATTGTTACTGTTCAAATAAAGTTATTATATACATATACAAAATATTGCCGTTATTGATTAGCCTGTAGGAATGGAGGAGGATTAGGGCCACTGGAAGAAAAAAAAAAGTTAACTGATTTTAGAATTTTATTTCAGTTTAGTATGGGAAAAAAGTCAAAAATCTGACTTTTTTCCTCAGAATTCTGACTATTTTCTTAGAATTCTGACTTTAATCTAAGAATTCTGACTATTTTCTTAGAATTCTGACTTTAATCTAAGAATTCTGACTTTTTTCTCAGAATTCTGACTTTAATCTAAGAATTCTGACTTTTTTTATTGTCAGAATTCAGTAAGAATTCTGAGAAAAAGTCAGAATTCTGAGAAAAAAGACAGAATTCTGACTTTTTTTCCCATACTAAACTGAAATAAAATTTAAAAATCAGTTAACTTTTTTTTTTTCCCAGTGGCCCTAATCCTCTTCTGTATGCAGGTGGAGATTCTTATTCATACGAAAACTGAGATCAAATCTAACCAATAGCTAGATAAGCTGCATTGCCTATTGTTTCTAATTCTGTTTTAGAAAGTGCAATTCTTGCTTATTTGCTGAACAAACCGATCCAGAAAGCTGGTTCTGTGCTGAGGATCCTCTACCGGAACCCTGAGCTGATTGTCCAGAAAAGAATGCTGCATAAGCTGCTGAAGATTATAGATAATGTCACTCCTCTCCAAACCACAGTGAAGAATCAACAAAGCAAGGAACTTCTTCCAGTTCTTTTTCTTTTAATCATTCAGCTGATTGAAACGTTAATCTGTAAGTTGCACGTGTGAACCTTCTCTATGGAGAAGAAGTGATGTAACAGCTCGTCAGATTAATTATTTTCATAATTGTTGTTGTAACGTAAAAAGTACATATTTTTATTCAAAAAACATCTCTACGCTTAGTCAAAGACATAGACACCCTGTCTGTAAGAAGGAGTGCTGCCGCAAGTCATTCATTCCTGCTGCCACCAGACTCTATAATAATGCACTATAACCACAATAACTCCTGTAAAAACCACTGTGCAGCTATATTATAGTTTTTTATTTATTGATTGTGCAATATTCTGTGCAATATGCTGACTGTGCAATATATGTGACTATAATAGTCATAACACTACCTCACCGTTGCTCCTCACCTACTACACTTTAACGTAAAAGTAAATCCACCTGTATATAAGCCATCCGTATTGTACATGTGTCACCTCAAATCTCTGTGCTACCCCCTTGTATTTTTTATTTTCTTATTTTTATTTTGTTTTTCATTGTGTGTGATACATGTACACTTGCACCTTAATTCTTATTTATCTTGATATACTGTATATACCTTGATTTACTGTAAATATATTGTTTTTTCTTAATGCACCTTTTTCCTCCTTGTTTGCACCTTCTTTAATTACTATGCCAATATGTGACGAGTGAATTTCTCCGCTCTGAGATCAATAAAGCTCATCTAATCTAATCTAATCTAATTATTTTTTTCTTCAGGCTTGCATTATTTTAGGCTTTTATTTTTTAATATTGTCCTGCACTTCCGGGCCATCCGTGGAACCGTCTTCCTTTTTCAATCCTAAAAAGAAAATGGAAAAAAGAATCCGGGAAATTGAAAAAAGGAACGTTTTTTTCATTTAGTTTTTCTGGTTTTTCGTTTCTAAATTGTGTTGACAAAAACGGGGGGAAAAAAAGGCTTTGATATCCGTTTTTAAATGGAAAAACGGAAGTAGTTTCCATTTTTCAGATTAGATTTTCCGGAAAAAAAACGAATTGCCTGAAGGTATACGGACCAAAAATGAAACGGTCCACGCCTTTACTCGAAGCACTCACCATCGCCGAACAGAGTGCTTTGTACATGAAGTGTAGCGGCGTCTTGAAGCATGAAATGATTCTTTACATTCAGTGAATGAGCTGCTTCCCCGCTGTGAACTGCTCAGCTCATGGTCTGCTTTCCACCTGTTTGTGTGCATTAATGATGCACTACTCCAACTGGCTCATTGACCTGAAGAACAGAGCAAGCCTGAGAAATGCATGCAGGACAACCTCTGACACGGACTGGATCCACAGTGGGCGGATCCACAGTGTGGAGAGCCACAACATCAACCTGCAGCCTAATGAGAAAACCTCAGAGATTGTGATCACCACCCACCTCTGGAGAAAAGGTAGGGTCTCTGGGCCTGTAGAGAATAACAAAGACCTTCCCTGCAGGGAGGCGCTTTGTGTCTTTAGGATGTGATATTTCCATGTGAGGATCCACGCTGCTGCGGCGCTCAGACCTCCTGTCTGAGACCTCAGGTCAGCGCAGAGGGCGAAGGCGTGCTCCGTTACCAAGGCAACGGTAACCTGGAGCGCGGCAGCAGCGGGCTAAGCTAACGACGATTAGTCAGTTTCAGCGTCCTTTGCAAAGAAGAAAATTGACGTTTTTATAGCTTTTCTCTATTGTTGACATGTGCTTTTTAGCTATAGATATCTGGCCGACATGCGGAGGCATAAAGTGAAAGGATTGCATTGTGAGTAACAAAGTCTGACCGTTTATTTACCACAATCTATCGGCTTGTAGTTACTCTTTGAGTATCAAATTTCGTAAAATTATACATTTCGCAAATTTTATATAAATAAATAAACATATATATGTATATATATATATATATATCCACTATATATGTATGTATATATATATATGTATGTATATGTGTATATATATATATATATATATATATATATATATATATATATATATATGTATATATATATGTATGTATATATATATATATGATATATATATATATATATGATAGATGTGGCAATCCCAAGCGACAGCAACATCAAGAAGAAAGAACACGAGAAGCTTGAGAAATACCAAGGGCTGAAAGAGGAGCTAGAAAAGATGTGGAAAGTGAGAGCAGCAGTGGTGCCAGTGGTAATTGGAGCACTGGGGGCTGTGACCCCCAAACTGGGAGAGTGGCTACAGCAGATTCCAGGTAAAACATCAGAGGTCTCTGTCCAGAAGAGCGCAGTCCTAGGAACAGCTAAGATACTGCGCAGAACCCTCAAACTCCCAGGCATCTGGTAGAGGACCCGAGCTTGAGGGTGACACATACCACCCCACCAGGGGGGAGAAAACAGTTTTTTTTATGTATATATATATATATATGTATATGTATATACATATATATATATGTATGTATATGTACATATATATGTATATATATATGTATATATGTATGTATATATATATATATATATGTATATACATATATGTATGTATATATGTATATATTTGTATAGATTTTGTTTAATCAATCTCAAATCTCAAACTATGTGAAATATACAATATATAAATTATATATATATATATATATAGAGAGAGAGAGAGAGAGAGAGAGAGAGAGAGAGAGAGAGAGAGAGAGAGAGAGAGAGAGAGAGAGACAGTACTAGAGTTGAGAGGGGATGGCATCCCCCTTCTTAAAAAAAATCTTATATATGTATATATTAAATATATATCTATCTATATATGTATATATATATATATATATATATATATATATATATATATATATATATATATATATATATATATATATATATATATATATAGCAAGAAAACTCATTTGATTTTGTTTAAATTTTGATTACTGATTTTATACATATATATCCAAAAGCTTCCTTTTCACTGTCATGTCGCCAAAAAACAGAGGAGGGATTGCTGCAAAGCCTGTCTTTTTTAGATATTCACCAAATATAATTACATTATCATTGGAATATTGACTGTATTGTTTTATAATCCTGAATTAATCATATAGTAGGTGTTTGAATCTGAATCTGTCTTTTATTGGATTGTTTTTGTATCAACCAGACTAGCATGATGGTTTATTTCTCTATAACTGGATCTGCTAATCGGTGATATAGAAATAAGCTGATGCTGATTAACGGATGATGATTTCATTTCAGGAATTGGTATTAAACATTGCAACTGCAACAAGTTGCATTCTTGTTGATTGTAGTTTTTCTTTTTTGCCTTCATTGCAGGTTACAAGATAATCAAGAAAATCGGAGAGGGCACTTTTTCAGAGGTGCTGAAAACTCAGAGCACTAAAGATGGGAAGTTTTACGCGTGTAAAACAATGAAGCAAACGATTAACAGGTACAACAGTTTCACATGTGCTGCCTCTTTAGAGTCTACACACCTCTGTTACAGTTTAGTTATGGGAAAATCAGACCCAGATAAAAAAAAAAATTCAACACTTTTTCTACTTTTAAGGTGATAGCAATCAGATCTATTAGAGGGAAACTAAAAACAATGAGAAGCTAAAATAGAATGAATGTTGAAATTAACCAAAAGGTTCTCAAAACAAACTACTAGGATTTTACACCTTTAATGATTTGTTTTATATACATTTCCAGCAAACAGATTATTAAGTTGTTTTAATTAACAAATAAATCTCACATTAAAGCAGTGTTTTCCAAACTTTTCTTGCCCCCCTTTGATATAAAATGAAAGTTTTGCACCCTCCTCCTATTAATCAGTCCACTCCAGTAAACCATAATACCGTTTATTCACAAAAATACCACTTTTCAAGTATCATGAAATTCTACTTTGCATTTTTTCATTTAACAGAATCAAACATTGCCATCAATTTTTTTCATGACCCCTCAAACATTTTATTCAGGTCATTGCCACCATGACTCTGCTGCAATTACACTGAGCTACCTCTAGTTGGCGCGTCCCCCACATAGGGAACCACCGCATTAAAGTCATTTTCACCAACTACTGTAGATAATGATCCCATGCTCTGCTATGAAGTACAGAAAAGTCCTAAAAGTTTTTTTTAAAACATTGACTTCCTATTTTCTGTAAGATATTTATTATTTTTTTTAGTTTTATATAATTTTTTTTTATAAAGTTTGATTTAAACAAGAATAGAACAGAATAGAAAATCTCTTTATTGTCCCTCAATGGGGAAATTCTGGTGTTTACAGCAGCAAAAAGATAATATTAAAAATAGTCACACAAATATGGACCTTAGAAAAGTGTGTAAGAATACCAGAATAGTAAAGAGTTAAAAGATAAACCATAAAAAATGTACTGTAAAATGTTTTAATATAAATACTGCGCACCTGGAGAATAAATAACCCACATAAAGCCATGGACATTTTTACAGTAATAGAATAGCAGCAACATCAGAGATGTGCAAAATGACAGCAGCAGGTTATTTAACTGACTAAGGTAGAAACTGTTCAAACTCCGCATGAATGTAACAACTGATTGAAGTTGTTGGGAACAGTGGTGGTTCTAGAGTCTTCCAGCTGCTGGGAGGAAGGATCTGTGATAACGCTCCCTGGTGCATTTAGGGTGCAGCAGTCTGTCACTGAAGGAGCTCTCCAGTTCAGCACCAGCTTCATGCATGTGGGAGACATCATCCAACAGAGATGTTCATTTAGTTAGGATCCGTCTGTTTCCCACTTACTGCACTGAATCAAAGTAAAGTTTGATTTAAACATCAAATGCAGATGTGATATATGGAGGATAAAAAGTGCCAAAATTAAATAAATAAATACAGCATTAAATAAATAATTAAATGTGGAATTAAATAAATAAATGTGTCATTCATTAATTTAAACCACGTCACTAATATAAAGTGCCACAAATAAATAAATAAATACAGCGATAAACAATTCATTAAATGTGTAATTCATTAAATAAATAAGGAATTAAATATATAAATGTGTCATTAATTTAATAAAATACGTCTTCATTTTATAAAAAAACATATATAATTATTTCAGTGTGCATTTAATTATTTCATGGTCCTGTGTCGCAGTGCATCCAAACCATTAAAAGAATCTGTCAAACTCACCCATCAAAGTTAGGGGGCGGGGTTAACACGAATCCAGTCTCTGTAATCGATTTGCTTTGCCTTAATGTGCAGGGCGACCAATCAGGTGTTAGATAACCGCCCCCTAACTTTGATGGGTGAGTTTGACAGATTCTTTTAATGGTTTCGATGCACTGCGACACAGGACCATGAAATAATTAAATGCACACTGAAATAATTATATATATTTTTTTATAAAATTAACACATATTTTATTAAATTAATGACACATTTATATATTTAATTCCTTATTTATTTAATGAATTACACATTTAATTAATTGTTTATCGCTGTATTTATTTAATTGCGGAACTTTATATTAGTGACGTGGTTTTAATTAATGATGATTTAATGATTTAGTGATGCAGAACAGCTTACCTTTCCATAAATGGGATTTTTTTTTTTCTCCAAGTCTGGAACAGGCCAACAACCTGCGGGAAGTCCAAGCCTTAAAGATGCTGAGCCCCCATGCAAACATCATCCAGCTGCACGAGCTGATCTAGTGAGTCCAGCAGCTTCACCTCACAGGAACACATTCCTGCATGTTTGGCTTCATGTTGCACTAATTTAAACCAATGTTTCAGTGACAAAGGAACAGGGACAGTGTCTTTGATATGTGAACTGATGGAGATGAACATCTATGAACTGATACAAGGTAGGTGGACTGATGAAAAACCACCATATGTTCTAACTAGAGGTTGACGTTCAGTGCAGGATGTTGCTCTTTCCCTGCAGGAAGAAAATTCCCCCTGCCTGAGCAGACAGTCAGAAGCTACATGTACCAACTCTGCAAATCCCTGGACCACATGCACAGGTACAGCAGGAGAGAACAGAGAAAATGCCAAATGTTTTATTATGTTTCAAGTACATTTTTTTCACTTTTACTATTCCTTCATTTTGACAGCTGTGGGATCTTTCACAGAGACATAAAACCTGAAAATATTCTCATAAAAGTAAGAAACATAAACTCTAAAATAAATATAGTGGCTCTTGAAAGTCTGCACTCCCTTTGTTAGAATTTACTGAGTAAATTTGTAAATAAAGAAGCTGCAATAACCTGGATTACTGGAAAAAGTGTCCATCTAGCCAAGCCTAGATAATATTAGAGTGAGAAAAAGTTCTCTTACTTAATTTTTCTCCTGAATGGCAGCAAAACGTTTTGAAGCTCGCAGACTTCGGCTCCTGTCGAAGCGTGTTCTCCAAACCGCCTCACACGGAGTACATTTCCACGCGTTGGTACCGGGCCCCCGAGTGCCTCCTTACGGATGGATACTACAGCCTGAAGATGGACATCTGGAGCGCCGGCTGCGTCTTCTTTGAGATCATGAGGTGATTGAGGACGGCTCAGATCCTGATAACTGGAACCAGGCGGGTTAGTGACGATGGGAAAGGCTGAGGTGAAGGTAGCAGCATCAGTGTTCAAACTCTGTGTTTCAGCTTAAACCCTCTCTTCCCCGGAGCCAACGAGTTGGATCAGGTGGCCAAGATCCACAATGTGTTGGGGACACCGGATCTAAGCCTGCTACAAAAGTTCAAGCAGTGAGTTTAACTAAAGTATTCACACCCTTTGACCTTTTTTGGGGGGGAGGGTTTATCAGATTAAAACCATGAAGTTCAACTTAAAATGGGATTTCTCTCAATTCTTTTGGAAAAATGTTCAATCTCAGCCATAATGGGCGGAGAGGGACGTGTTTTCACACCGCAGCAACTAATTTAGTTAGTAATTAGGGGAAAAAAGGAATATTTGATGGGTTTTTTTGAGCAGGTCAATAGGAAGAGCTGCAAAAATTGTATTTTTGTTCTTAAGACTAAGTCTAATTATATACTCTGCATTATATTTCCAAAATAAATAAAATCTAAATATTACTGAAATATATTTTTGATCTTTTTCAAGTTGGGAAGTGGTCTTTTAAGAGAATGTTTCACAAATTTCACCAGCCTACTTGACATTTATTAAGTCTATTAAAGCAAATGGAGTGGGGGGTCTATTGGTTAGGTTGTGAGTTCCAGCCCCACTCCCACAGACTGCCCCTCTGAGTCTCTGAGCAAAAGACCCTTAACCCCCATGCTGCTCCCCGGGCGCCACACAGTGGCAGCCCACTGCTCCCCAAGGGGAGGGGTTAAATGCAGAGAGTTCATTTTTTGCCTCTGTATTCCTTGGTTTTGGATTTGGTTTCCAAGTATGAAGATGTTTCGCTTCCCATCCAGGAAGCTTTTTAAATTAAAAATCTCCAAAATAGCGTTCAGTTTGAGACTTTATAGAGTGGACTAAAAAAACATGCAAACTGAACCTGACGAGCGGGTCCGCCCCTTTGGAATGGGGGTCGTTTGGCTTCTTTGTCAGCCTGTAATACCCAATACCTGTCTATGTTTCTGAAAGGGGGGTTGTTAGAGGGAATTGTTGGCCTGGCTGAGCAGCCACAGACACACACAGACAGGTATAGGGCATTGCAGGGTAATGGGGGTATGGGGCATTGCAACAAAGAACCCAAACGACCCCATTCCAAAGGGGCGGACTCGTTCATCTGCCATTGTTGCTCTGCATTTGTGACATTGTAATGAATAAGGAGGTTTTTGGTAAAGGCTGTCTGCCTAATCTCAGAGGAAATTTTTTATTTTCAGATGTAGCTTAATATGAGACCATTGATGCTTTAAAGGAATAGTACACCCAAAACATGATTAGCCTTCATTTTCTACTCACCCCCATGCTGAACAACACTCTAGAGTACTTTTTTGATATCTCAAATGCATCTGGAGATCTGGGAGGCTTCTTGCTGTCTGCTGACATTCAAATAATGGAGGTCTATGGCGCACTTTCATCTGGTTTGGTCTGCCGCGGTTTCCGTAGACTCGTGAACTCGCAGGCGCGCGCTTTTAGGAAATCCTATACACTACTGTTTATGCTCTAAAAACATTCTAAATGACTTCGTTTCCAGTAAATTCTGGACGCTACCCACTCAGGACACTTGGAATACATTGGACGAGCAGTATGGAGGAATATTGACACGTTTTTTGTGGACTTTTATGGACCTTTCTGCCTCGGGCGCCATAGACCTCCATTATTTGAATGTCAGCAGACAGCAAGCAGCCTCCCAGATCTCCAGATGCATTTGAGATATCAAAAAAGTACTCCAGAGTGTTGTTCAGCATGGGGGTGAGTAGAAAATGAAGGCTAATCATGTTTTGGGTGTACTATTCCTTTAAGGTGAGAATGTAGCCGAGTTAAAATCTAATATCTGCCTGGTTGGTCAAGATTTCACTGACATTGTTTCGTTAGTCCTGATAAGTTTATTCCTAACAGCTGAGGATGTCCTAAAGTCTACCCCGTCCTTTGGATTGTAAAGGTTTCAGACTTCTGGTCTAAATCATTAATTGCATCTCTGGCTGGATTTTCAGGATGGTTCTCATGCTGAAAGGAGAACCTCCATTGCGGAGCTTTTTATTCCAGGATTATTTAGGATTTAGCTCGATTCATCTTCATCTGTGCAGCTTTTTGATCACAGTCGAATGAGTTTGAAATGCACCGTTGTACTGAATTGTTGCACCAGGTTTTATTTTGGGGCTTGAGAGTAAAAGGGGCTGAGTATAGCTGCTTGCTATACTTAAATTTACTTAAATCCCCTTTGTTTTGAACACGCTGACGTTTGTGGTTGTTGCCATGGGCGTAGGTTTGCATAGGGACCATAGGGACATGTCCCTACCAAAATTTTGAACCGACCTAATTGTCCCTACCAATAATTGGATGTGAGCAACATTATAATTTACAGCAGTAGTTGTTGCAGCAGTGGCTTCTTTTCCTCACGCAGCTCCTCTGCCTGGTCTCTCCTGTCCCTTTCATGTAGCAGCGCATGGAACTGTGCTGCGCTGTTTAACTCTACTCTCATTGGTTGTTCTGCCTTAAGTTCCGCCTTCTCTCTCTCTGATTGGCTGTTTTCTAGTCCGCGTGTGCTTGGAGCACAACATTGAAAATATATTCACACTAGAATGCTGCGGGGTTACTACAATAAATATTAGGCTACAAAACTAGTCCCAATTAAAAAATTGATACAGAGAGAGAATAGTAGGTAAAAATATAAGAGTGGGGTTTAACTCTGCACAATTCTATATCTTCAAAAGAAAATACTGTATTTACCTTCTCTCTTAGTCGTTCAAATGAAACCGTTTTCAAAGTGGAAAACAGTCCTAATTCCACATTCATCAGAGCCGGTGATACTTCAAACATTGATAAACAGCATCTAATGAGTGTAGAGCTTATAACATTTTTATTAATGGAGCAAAATGTTGCTTTTCTCTTTTAACAATGAATTCCTCTTATCAGTACGGATGCTCACATCGAGCATAAAAAAGGGCATGCATATTGCATAGCACCAATGACACCAGACTAATAGTGTCCCTACCAAAGTTCAAATCAAACCTACGCCCTTGGTTGTTGCAGACAAAATGCAGTGATCATTTTTACACGAGGCGCTGCAGGCTGCATACATGAGTAAATCTAACGCTGTCGTCTTTCTTCTGTCGTCAGGTCTAGAGCGATGCATTTCGACTTCACTCCGAGGAAAGGAAGCGGCATCTCCCGGCTGCTGCCTAGCTGCCCGGCTCCGGCTCTGTCGTTGCTTTATCAGATGCTCGCCTACGATCCAGATGAACGCATCAGTGCAGAAACAGCCCTGAGGCACACTTACTTTAGGGAAATCAGGTGAAGCGCTTTTTTAGAAGAGATGGGGAGAAAAAAAAAAAAACTTTCTGCATCTCTGAAGCTTTAAAACAGACAGACAATCTGTCATTGTTCAGACTTGTTAAGATTTGATCGATTTTGAGAAGAAATCTGGTTGTTTTCTTGATGTAGGATGGGAGACAAGAATTCAGACACTCTTCAGAGAGTTTCTGAGAATTTGGTGGGGACGCAAAGATCGTCTCAGCCAGTCTGGCGACCGCCCAGACCGGGCAAACAACTGAGAGGAAGACACTCCAGATTGACACCTTTAATAAACGTAAGTGAAAACTCTGCAGGTCAACCTGACAAATGGCTGAAGACCGCTTAAAGCTTGGCTTCTCCTCAGCACAACATGAAGCGAGCAGGAGACCCGCTCAGCCGGACGAACGCCCCCCATCCAGTGGAGCAACCCAGGACCAACATGGCCGCTCACGGACCCCAGCTGTCATTCCCATTCTGCACCATGCCTGCAATAAGCCGCGCCCACAGAGGAACGCTGCCACCCATCATGCCAAAAAAGTGCCAGTCACAGGAGCTCAAGGCAAGTCCTGCATCTATGGATGACCGTTTCTCTTAAATGAAACGCCATTAAACAAGAGATCAGTGTTTAGGTTTGACTTCCATGTCTCCACAGCCCCAGGAGGAGCCGTCTAGCACAGCCTTGAAGACCTTCTGCCTCCCACCTATAGAGAAGAAACCTGAGAGCAGCAAATGCACAATAATGGGATCAAACCGGACAGACATGAAGAACTGAGTCTGGAAAACGTGGAAAAACGTCTCAAACAGCCGAGTTGGAAAAAACAAAAGCAACAAACGACCATAAAAACTGCTAATCTGCTCAATAAATGTCAAGAGACGAAAGTACCACAATGAAAACCTGAAGCAGCAGTCAATTATTAAAATGCTGTGGAAAAATTTTTCCACCTGATTTGTTTTTGCTTTGTTGAATGTTTAAGATTAAACTCATTTTAATTATGAATTAATTGAGGTGGTAATTTGGCCCAAAGTGGAAAAGTAAACAACCCCTGAATCTATGGAGAAGAACAGCCGCTAATGAGTCTGGCCCACTCTGCTCAGGGTTATCCTGCATGAGCCCAGTGTAATCAAGTGGATTTTAGCTCAGACTTGGACTAGGCCAATCCAAAAAAATCTGTTGTTTCAGATCACTCCTGCTTGATAAACCAGGTTTGTTTCTCATGGTACAGAATATTTTTCTCATATTTGTTTTTATTTTTGTTAAATGTGAGCCAGACCTTTGTGCAGGGGTGATTTAGGAAATGTGGGGCCCTAGGCAAAGACAGGCAGGGGGCCCTTCTGAATCTAGAAGACAACACATAAACAGCCCCATTCTACAGATAGAGAAATGTTAATAGAATAGACATCTATTATCTGTTCTAGGTTGTGTCCCTCTCTTCTTGTCCCTTTTCTTCTTGTTTTCCTCTCTATGTTTTGTACTCAGCTGACTTTTCATGCTGTCTCTAAAGGAATGAAAGATTTTTTCCAAGCACTAAGCTCACTTAGCTGATTGCTCCTTCCTGTGTTTCCAAAAAGGCCAAAGTAAATAACCCAGTCCTTCTTTTCACTGTAGACAAGCCATGATCTGCTTATCTGTTCTCCATTTTTCATTTGGATGAAATAATAGCTGCATGAATCATGACAGCAGACAAGATAGAGGAGAGCAGGAGGCGGGGTTACCAATCTACTTGCTCTGGAGAGCAGAGTTCGCTGCTTTTAGATGTCGTTGCCAAGGTCACATCTTGTTTTACGTACAGATCGTAATGCAGCAAAAACTAATCTTTAAACTGCAATGAATAAATTAGATTGACTTTGTTAAAAGTGTCCACCTGATGTTTGAAGAAGTTTGAAGATTGCTGTGGTTCCTGGAGGGTTCTGACGCTCTGAATGAAGCTGGTCCACTACCATTTGAGACACACATCCAATCACCATAGTGGCCCATGGCAGTGGCAGCATCATGCTGTGGGGATCCTTTTCTTAAGAGAGAGCGTAGAACTTGGCTGATGAGAAGATGGAAGCAGCCAAATCCAGGTCAGCGCTGGAAGACTGATGACCTAAGAGCTTTCCAAACTGTTAGATGGGATTCCCCTTCATTGTTTTGATACTGGTGATTGAATGACATGTAATTAAGAGACTTAAGATCATTTTCACATTTCTAAAAATAATAAATAAATAAAACGGTTGTTCTTTTTCAACCACCACAGTTACACATTCTGTTGTGTTGCTCCATCACATATATAATCCAGCTCAGTTTGTGGCTGAAAATGTGCAAAAGGTTTAAATACTAAGTAAAAATACTTAAACTGTAACATGAGAGCAAGCAGCTTTAAAGGAAAATTCCGCTCATATTCAGAATTCAAACTTCTGAAAGTTCTTTAAATCTGAAATGATTCCATCCTGTTCAATAAATGATCAGTGTTTTTAATTCAGAGTAATTTCCATGTGAATGTGCTTTACTGGAGGCATCCATGTTTGTCAAAGAACACTACTGCCACCTACTGGTTAGTGACGTCACGGTGCGGTATCGGCTGTTGATCAAGTCCCAGTGCTGTATCTGGTGTTTGTCACAACGCGCTATTATCCAAGTCATCTTGAAAACATTCTTCTTCCAAATGTTGGCTACATATTACGGGTTTTTTCTCTGGCCAGAAGTTCGATGGCAAATCCTCCCTCTTCAAGTTGGCGATCCAACGACCAACCCGTCCGTGGAGGATCAGGAATCAGAAAGGTGGAATAACTCTTTTTTTCACTTTTACCCGATGTATTCCAGCATCCAGCTGCCATGCACGTGGGCATTGTCAGTTTCACTATAGCTCTGGTGAATTTCAATGGTGAAGTCCTCTGGAAATCTTCAATAATTGTTGCTGATTGCAGATGTGTCTAGTAGTTCCCATTGATTTAGCTTGTAAAGCGGGGAGAATGGCGCTAGGCTTACCGCACCGTGACGTCACTGCTGGAAGATGGCAGGAGGGAGGGGTTACTATATTTGGGGAAAAATGGCCGCTCCCAGAGGCTCTGATCGCAAAGAAAATTATTTTTTTTTAAATCAACGCCAAATTCATTAAATCATAATGATCCATTGTTGATCGGACTTCCCCTTTAAAGACGTAACATATTGATCAAGCTTTAAGTAGCTGTCAGGTTCTGGAGGTTTCGGCCTCTTCTTAACAAAAAAGAGACGTCTAAACTAAACTTAGCAGAGAACGGCCTCCATTCCTCAGCTGGGATGTCGCTGAGGATATTTGGACAGGAAGACAGAAAATTTACCTCATAGCTTTATTTTTGTTTTAATTGAGGATCATTGTGGTTTCTGAATTCTAAACTGGATTTAAAAGTAAAAATAAAACAAGTTAAACCTTTGATTTCATAAGTAATAAGGGTGAAAACTAAAAACAGAAGAGGATGAAAACATAACGATGTCAGCTTAAAGGAATAGTACACCCAAAACATGATTAGCCTTCATTTTCTACTCACCCCCATGCTGAACAACACTCTGGAGTACTTTTTTGATATCTCAAATGCATCTGGAGATCTGGGAGGCTTCTTGCTGTCTGCTGACATTCAAATAATGGAGGTCTATGGCGCCCGAGGCAGAAAGGTCCATAAAAGTCCACAAAAAAACGTGTCAATATTCCTCCATACTGCTCGTCCAATGTATTCCAAGTGTCCTGAGTGGGTAGCGTCCATAATTTACTCGAAATTAAGTCATTTAGAATGTTTTTAGAGCATAAACAGTAGTGTATAGGATTTCCTGAAAGCGCGTTCACGAGTCTACGGAAACCGCGGCAGACCAACCCAGATGAAAGTGCGCATTCAGCTCGGCAAAGAACTCATGCTCTTCCTCAACACTGAAGTCCTCAGACATTTTTCTTTCGTTGTTTCTTTCTTTGCACAGGTAAACAGCACATTTCTTCTTCTACGCTTGCATTATCGGCAGAGCAGACGCTGAATGCGCACTTTCATCTGGTTTGGTCTGCCGCGGTTTCCGTAGACTCGTGAACGCGCTTTCAGGAAATCCTATACACTACTGTTTATGCTCTAAAAACATTCTAAATGACTTAGTTTCGAGTAAATTATGGACGCTACCCACTCAGGACACTTGGAATACATTGGACGAGCAGTATGGAGGAATATTGACACGTTTTTTGTGGACTTTTATGGACCTTTCTGCCTCGGGCGCCATAGACCTCCATTATTTGAATGTCAGGAGACACCAAGAAGCCTCCCAGATCTCCAGATGCATTTGAGATATCAAAAAAGTACTCCAGAGTGTTGTTCAGCATGGGGGTGAGTAGAAAATGAAGGCTAATCATGTTTTGGGTGTACTATTCCTTTAACACTGACCACACAGGTCCTCAGATTCTGCTAGGAGAAAAACCACCAATAGTTTAACTAAAACACATTTACTTACTTTAGTATAAATTCTATAACATTGAGAAATATTTGTTGTTCAGTGTTTCCCAGACTAGGACCTCTATAAATGTTCATACTTCAATCTCTCTGCTCATTAAATGGTTTCAATGCAAACCGATGTAGAGATGCACAGAAATAATAACAACCAGAAAACATGTATTCAAGATTATTTTAATATTATTAATATGTTTACTTTAGGCTTTAGAAATATAACTATCAATGACAAAACTTCCACTGGAGTAATGGTAGTTTGCGTAGGCCCCCATCAGATCAATTAATTACAATATACACATTATGATACAGAGAGATGCAGATTTGAATCTGAAATAATATTAAAATAAATGCTCAATAGATAAAGGTTTTTTCTTCTACTGTATTAGCCATTTGTAAGTTCTTAGCACACCCCCACAATGTAAAGCCATTCTCTTCTAATAAAACTAATTTAAGTGCAAACCATTTTTTCTTGAAAAAGACTGATTGCAGCATCCTGCCTTCTGCCAAGTGCAACTAGGCAGTCCTCAACCTTATTTATTGTTCCATTAAAGTAGTATAAAAAATAAAATAAAACAAAAAAAAACAGCTAACAAGAAGAAAAGAAAAAATCAGTGCAAAGTCATTAATGGGGAGATTCTAGTCAAAGAAGCAGTGGTTGAATATGGATGGACGTCAATTTTCACGCAGTTTTTAACTAAACTCCTTCCATACGGTCTGGGTCTGCAGAGGTGGACAGTAAAATAATCTACCATCTTAATCTCAGCCGTCTGGTTTGCAGTTACCGACGCCAAGTTTGTTTCAGAGAGGATAACAGTCTGAGGAGATCTGACACAAAACAGTTCTTAAAAAAAAACTAAAATATTTTAAAACTCCAGAGTAGAAAACTAGAAGCGCAACAGTGACCAGATTGCACAGCTTTTCCGTGTTTCGCCTCCTCCTCTAAGTCCGGGTATCAAACAGGGAAGCCGTGAACAGAAGAGGGGAGAGGGAAGGGTGTAAAGGAAAAGGAAAACTTGCAATGCTTGCAGGGTGGAGAGCAGCATCAGACTCTGGGTTGCAGGGTTCTTTAGCAGCAGAAATATTGATGCTATACTACTGTCCCACTGGGAGAGCTGGCTTGGTTTTGGGATGACAATAAACCCTGGAAAAAGGAAAACAAGGAGATTTGCATTGGGAAAGTCCACATTCTGAAGCAAAAGAAAAAAATAAAAATAAAAAAAATCAAGCATAACAGATCAGTTAATAGTGGCCCAAATCCAAGTCCCGTCCAGCAGAGCTTCCTTATTTAAGGCACTTCCTTATTTATCATCATTTTCATCCTGTTCCAAAAACATCTACATGCTGCTCCAAAAATAAATCAGCAGTGATCTAATGTCACTGGGAGCTCTGGTTCTGACTGACTGACTGGTATCGGGTTGCTCTCTTCTAAATTATTTTATTTTAATGAAGTTTGGAGGCTAAAGTTCTCACACAGAAAGCTGAAAGCTTTACAGGAAAACATGGGCAGAGCTTAGATTAGATTACGTCCTCTCTGTGCACTGCTGAAAAGCTGGCTGA